TCAAATATATCAATTATATCAAATATATCAATTATGTCTGATATATCTGACATTTAGATCTGCAACCTTCTGCGTCACGTCTGTCAATCCAATCCTGTTACAATATATAATAATCATCAAAAAAGATTATATTTTGATGTTAATTATTTTTTCACATGATACTTTGCATTTTATTTTACTTTTTATTAGGATAAAAGTTTATTTTATTTGATTAATAATATATTAAAATAATATATTAAATAATTTAAATTATTATTAAAATAAAAATTACTATATAATTTAAAATAATATTTTAAATATTAGAATTGCTTTATATTCTATCTATTCAATTAAATAATGAACTATCTAATAACCTTTTTAATTTTTAATAGATATTAAATAATTATATACTTCTTTTAATATAATTAAATATCTTTTTAACTTAGATATAAATATTTATAAGTTTTAGATAGAAATTCACTTACTATATAATAAATCTTTTATTATTTTTTTTTATAATAATAATTCTCTATTTAAAGTTCTAATTCCTTTTTTATTATTATTAACATAAAAAATATATTTATCATAAATAAGTAAAATATATTCTCTTTTATTATCTTTTAATTTAAGTAATACATTTTATATTATTACTATTATATTTTATTATAAAGATCTTATAATAAGAATTGTTTTAAAAAATTTTTCAATAAGTAATTATATTCTTATACTTATATCTATAATAAATAATAAAAGAATTTAAAAATATTTAACCATTAGGTGATAGTTATAATTAACTTTTTTTTAAAAAATTTCTATTTTAATAAAAAAAATTCTTTTAATAAAATTTTTAAAAGTTTTTAGAATAATACTGATTAAATTCAATTTTTACATCTATTAACTATATCTTTATTATTAATTAAAAATATAATCTTTTAATACTTTTATGATAAATAAAAGAAGAAAATTATTTTTTAACCAAAATATTATCTATTTATAAATTATTATTATTTATAAAGATTAATATTAATAAACTAATTTAATTACTTCTATACTTATAACTATCTTTTTACTTTTCATTCTTATTTAATCTCAAAAGATATTCAAATATTATTCTTCTTTTATTATATTTAATAATAGATATTTTTTTGTGTGATTTTTTAACTTGATTTTTAATATTTTTATTTTTTGTAAAATATCTTTAATTATCTAATTATTTTTATTATTTGTAATATTTAAAATATTATAATCTTTATTTGAAAATAAAATATTATCTAAAAAGAAAGTATTTAGTTATTTTTTGTTGTATTAGTATATATATCACTTAGAGTTTATTAATCATAATATGTTAATTTTTTATTAGTCTAATAAAATAAGGATTATATTTTTATTTTTCTAAAATTATAATCCTTTCAAATTAATTTTAATATTTTTTTTTTATGTAAAGTTACTTTATTCTTTAATTATTATTCTTTTTAATTTCTTATTCATTAATTAATAGATTTTTATTTTAATGTTTGCATATTAAATATGATCATATAAAACTATTTTAAATTTATTTAGTATTTATTTGTATTATATAATAATTTTTATAAATATGTTATTTTTAAAAATAAAAGGTACATTTGAAGTATTATGTGATTATGTAATATATAAAATTTCATAAAAAAATATGCAAATTATAAAATTAGAAAAATTCAAAACGAAAATTATAAATCATACCGTGATGTTTAACACTATATCATATGATCATATGATTTATATTTATTTTTATTAAATCACAGTATTTGTATTATAGTTGATCATGTTAGTAATACTTTATTTTTTTACCATGTTAGTAATACTTTATCCTTTTACTGCATCAGTAATACTTTTATCCTTTTAACACATTAGTATTATTTTCTTCTAAAACACTAATAATTATGTCTTTTTATGAAACACCATTTCTTTAAGTTGAGGATAACTGTAATAGTATTAATAACCTTAATCCAGTTGAAAATTTGGAAGACAGTTTTGACCTTTTAGTTAATAATACACAAACAATCATTTTAAGTAAAGAAAAATCTTTTAGTAAATTTAATGAAGACAATAATGAAGAAATTGAAAACTTTGAGCCATTATATTCTATTGCATTAAAAATGACTTTTATAAACTGGAAGAAACTTGATGAGTAAGTAAAAAAGTTATTTTGTTATATTGGTATATTCACAATTTTAATCAAATTAGATTGGATTGGATTTACCAATTTTAACAGGTTAGATAGATTTTTATATAATAAACTAATTTTAGTAGAACATTAGCATAATCTTTTACTAAAAGTTTTATCATAATAAATTATTTCTATTGTTTGATCCATATTATTTATTATTTGCATATTAATAATAAAAAATTTTTTAATTTTAAGATGGTTAGAAAATTATGAATTAGAATGAGGTTTTGTATTTACAATTATTCATAGCGAAAAAGACAAGAATGATAGTTTTTCTTGACGTCATATTTATGCATACTCAAAAGGTCAAATATATAATCAACAAAAAAGAGTAAATATAAACAAAAATCATAATAAAAGATGTCTTACTAATGACTGTAAATTTCATATTAATACTTACCGGTGAAAAAAGATAATCTTGTTCATATTATAAAGGTTGATGGTAAGCATAATCATGAATTAGTAGAGAATATTAGAATAGTCATACTATAGTATCATAAGCTTACTTCAGAAATATGTGAGAATATAACAATTCTTGCTACCTGTGAAATACAAGCTGATACAATTATTGAAGTTTTGTAATATAAATATCCAGAAAAATATATTCATTTCTATAATATTTACAATTTAATTCAAATAATTCAATATCAAAATCAAGCTATAAGTAATGCTAGCTTAATTTATCTTGCACTTATGAATCAGCAGCTGGAAAATCTAATATTTCATGTTGATGCACAATTTGAAGATCAAGATAATCATCTTATTAGACTCTGTTGGATGCATCCAAATCAATAGGAATTGTGAGCTTATTTTTATAATGTAATTTTACTTGATATAACAGCAAAAACAAACCAATATTCCATGATTTTATGTATTATAATATTAGTTGATAATTATAATTATTCTCATCTTACAGCAACTGCAATAATATTAGATGAAATAAAAGATACTTTTACATAGTTATTTACAAATATTTCCAAAGCAACAGAAGAATTAACACTAACTTTACTTTATACAGATGCTGATCGTAGCTGTAAACAATGCTTAGTTTATAACAAAGCATCATTTTTGTTTGTTTCATATTAGAAAAAACTTAGAAAAGCATTTTTTTAGTAAATATTATGATAAAAAATGGAAAAAGTTCTTTTCTTTTTTTTGTTATATGTGTAATAGTCAGGTTGAATCAATTTTTGAAGAGAGGTTAGCTATATTATTACAGGAATATACTGATGTTATAAATTACCTGTAATATTAGCTTTATTCATGCAAAGAGGCTTAGGTATTATGCTTTACATATTATGCATTTAATGTTGGAATTCAAAGTACACAGCATGTAGAGTCATACAATGATATTATCAAAAATAATGTTAATGGATCATCATCTCTTATGGAACTTGAACATACAATTAAAAGATTATTAGCAAAGGAAAGTAAATATCTAAAATTAAATGAAACTATTAATAAACTTTCTATAAGTAAAGAAGAAGATTATCATAATCATTATTTTAAAGATATTGACAAATTATGTCAATATTTTTTAACACTAACAATTTTTAAACTCTAACAACATAAAATAAATTATAGTATACACTATCAATATTATAAAATTAATTTGGACTATAAATTTGAGCAATAGGTACAAATTAAATTTATCATCATATAATTACTATTAGAGATAATTAATCTTTTTTCTTTATAGAATACTATAGAATTACCAAAAGGCATGTTTTCTGAAGAAATGTTTGATACTTGTGTTATAGAACTTGCAGAATTAATTGGATTTAGATTTAACAAGAATTAATGAAATTTAGCATATTTCTTCTATTGATAAAAAAAGCAAGCATTTTATTGTGTTATATGATGATACTATACATTTATGTATATGCTTGATATTAATTAATCATGGTCTTATATGCCGCCATTTTTTTGCAACAATTCTTGTATCTTCAATTGCTAAGTTTCATATTGGACTTATACCATGATGTTAGTATACTGATGTATCAATTATAGAGGCAGTTACAACACTTTCAAGTATACTAACAATTTTTGGTGATGAGTTTATTATAATAGAATACATAGTAGAATTAAATCTTTCTCATTTAGAGAGTATTTATGGGTGTCATGTTTTTACTAAAGAAGTTTATCATAAAATGATATGAAAATAATAGTGAGAAAAAAGGTTTGGGTTAATGAAAAAAATACTTAATTTAGCAATTAAAACAGGAAGAATAAAAGAATTTTATGAAATACATGAAAGATTTGCCAAGAATATGGAATCTGAAATTACACAAACTGTATAAGGCAATAATATTATTGAATTTGCCTGTACTATTAACAACCTAATTAATATTAGAACAAAAAGCCAAAAGCCTAAAAATTCAAGTAATATATATGCTAATAGTAAAGGTAAAAAAGGTAAGTAAGAACTAATCAAAATGATAAAGAGAATAATATAAGTGATGAAGATCATGAAGAATTATTACTAAATAGAAAGTGGCAAAAAGTTTTATAAGATAATTCAAATACAGATATATATAGGGTTTTTATATCACTTATGATATCAATATTATGTTAATTAGCAATTTTTTTATTTAACAGATTATGAGTTAAATATAGATGTGAAAGCTAAAGGTAGTAGAAGTAAATAAAGATAATGTAGAATTTGTAATAAAGAAGATCATAATATACGAACATACTTAAAAATCAATTTGTAATTCATAATTTTTTTAAAATTTTATGAATTTTATTTATATAAATTAGTTTTTTTATACTTACTTAATAAAGATTACTTTTTTAATATGCAAATAATAAAGTCTGATTTAATTTTGCTTTAATTGTAAGACCTTTTTATTAGATAAATGTAATTACAGCTAATGATAATACAGTCCCTAGTGAAAAGAATAGCGGTGGAAGACCGCATCTATTTTAGGCTGTAGTTTCACCACTTCCTAGATTTAGGCATTTGTTTATATGTCCAAATCGGACATTGAAATTTGAATTAAAAAGGTAAGTTAAAAAAATAAGGTTTGTTATTTGTTTTTATTTTAATTTCCTTTCTAAAACTATGCCAAGCTCTTTAAAAATACAAAAAGTCACTTTGGGACCAAAAAGTGCATAATGCAAAAGAAATTTCTAATTGATTGTGTATTCCTTTGCATACATGTGAACGATATGTCAGTTTACTAAATAAAACTAGCAAAATTTCTATTGGTCACTCTTCTGGCTGTCTAAGAAAATTGGTTTTAAACCAACACTGCCATATTAGAAAAATTCTGCAATATAATCATTTTACTACAGCAGGCGAACTTAAGGCAAAATTGAAAGAAAAAGATTTTAACCTTGATATCAGTGAATGTACGATATATCGTGAGCTTAACAATCTTGGATATATTTCTGTTTTTCCAAGAAAGGTTCCTCTCTTGACCCAAAAAGTGAAGGATTTTCATTTGTCTTAAACACGTGATTATTCGCGATATAACTGGAAAAAAGTTGTTTTTTTCTGATGAAACAACACTTTAAATGTTTAGAAATATCATGTGTACATGGTCTCATAATGCACAACCAATTGCCTCTATGATAAAGTATCCATTCAAGATTCATGTTTGGGCAGCGATTAGTACTAAAGAAAAAATCAACATTCATTTATTTACTGAAAATTTGAATCATCATTTGTATTAAAAAATCTTGAACGACTATCTGTATAATAACGTGAATATGTTATACAGATGCAGCTAGGTTTTTCAATAAGATAATGACCTAAAACACACCTCACACGATGTTTAGGAAAACTTGAAAAAGCATCTTTCAGGACGAGTTCTTTCTTAACCTTTATACAGCTAAGAATTGAATCCTCATGAAAATATATGAGCTTTATTAAAGGGAAAGGTGGAGAAAAAGATCAAGTATTTAGTAGTAAAAAAAAAACATTACCTACAATGTATTCCTTAATACAATCTGACAGGAATAGGACGATCTTGATGACGCTATATTACTTTGATGCATTGAGAGCATGTCAAGTTAGGTTAAAGCATATATTAATGCAGAAGGAGAACACACCAAATATTAATTTATAATATAAAAGTTGTCGTTAGTATTGTTCTTATAAATAATAAAAGAAAAAAATATACATTAAAATAAAGTTTGTACATATTGTCAAATATGTTTCCGCCATTCTTTTCATCAGAGACTGTATCCCAATAAAAAATTTGATATAAAAATTCCATAAAAATATAAAGTTTTATAACGTATAATTTTTATGGAATTTTAGTA